ATTATATAAAAGATTTTATAAATAAATTGAGATTAAATTTTTATGAGGAATTAATTATATTAATTTATTTTCAATTATAAAAAGAGTCTTCAAGCATAAAAAAATATTCGTTGCTATAACTTGAAAAAGACCTATTAATCCTTACAAGTGTTTTAAATATTTCAATTTCACTGAGATAAGTTAATTTATACAATTATGCCATTTGAGTAATTATTGAATTTTTCTTTTAATAAAAATGTTATTGAAAAATTTTGAGAATTTAAGGCGACGTTCAAGTAAGGACTTCAATTAAGTCTAAATCTAGAGGCAAATAAATAATAGATATCAATTAATCTTATAGAATGCATATGAAAATATAAGTGCACTTTCAAACAACATCTTGAATTTCACTTTTCATAATATGAAAATGTTTTTAGGAGATTACTTCACAGCTCTGAATTTAGATCTATCCTTATAAATTAATAGTAAAGGAATTTATATTTAGGAGCTCAAGTTTAATTAAAATATTTGATTTGAATTTCATATCAATTCAGGATTATATTAAAGTAATTACTTATAGCTTATTTATGTTTAGATCATTATCGCAGTGATTAATTTTGATTGTAATACAAATGGGACTTACAAATATTGAAAAATTTAAGATTCAATATTTGTTACATGAATGAAACTATGATTTCACTAGATACTAACTAAAGTTAATTGTTTTAGTAGTGCAGAAGTGTTTTATTTTTGTTTATCTTTCAATTTAGCTATCTTAAATTAAATAAATCTCATTATTAAATAATTTTGTATTTTCCATTATTAACGTTAATTCCCTAAATAACTAATATGAATAGGTCTTCAAAATAAATTTATCATCTATAAAATAATTGAGGATGACAATTATTAGTTTTTTTTTTATTTATCTAATTAGCTATAAATTGAATTATTTTAATTTCTCATTTGTATTCATACATATAAATGTTATAATTTATAATTGGAAAAAAAATTAAAGTTTTCTCCTGTAGTTGTTTATCATTATTTCCTACAAATTTCTTAAAAATAATGCTATTATAGAGGAAACAAATATACTAAAATCATAAAAATCTAATAAATACTAATATTTGATTATTTAATTGTCAATTTATTAAATAATATTTGACACTTTTATAATAATCATCAAAATAGTCTTCCTTATCATGAATGAAAAATTAGCAAACTAATTTGATAATATATCATAATACTTTAACAAAATATACTTTAACTTTATCAACCATTTAATCGACTGCAGTAGTAACTAAATAATATGACTTGGATATCAGGCATCTATTTGAAATCTCTAATAGATGATTTTTTGAATAAATAAAGTTTGTCAGGAAAGTGACATTAAGATTATTTTCATCTTTGTTTTCATCATGAGTAAAGAATACATGTTTCATTTTAAGTAAATTAATATGATCTAATTCTTACTATCTATGATTTCCTATTTTTATATCTAATATCTTGTATAATTTTTTATTGCTCCAATTTCTCCTGTCTCATTTTATTTCGCCTTTTAATTAAATTGGTTTACTTCATTTAAACCTCCAAATGATTCACTTCCAAAAACTTTTAGATTTATCTATGTAAAATTAGAATAATTATATGATTCATGGAATGTTGGCATTGATACTGATATAGTGTTGGAGAATTGTTTATGCGCCAATTTTTTTATTGTAGATTGTTGTATTTATTTTAATTGATTCTCAAAATTATTAATATAGATGAATGGAGTAGTTTCATCCTTATTTTTCTTAAGGATTATTTCACAAATTAATTCATTTTTAGATGAGCTTTCCAATTAAATACTTCATGCAATGTTTTTATTTTTTTATCCACAACTTCATATTCTTTTACTACACTTCTATTCATGTCTTCCTACTTTTATTGATTTAGAAAACCTACTTAATGTTTCACTTTTTGATTCAATATCTTCTAAAACATCCTCTTATAACGTATTTTTAATTATAAATAAATTAATCAACAGATTATTATTATATTATTATATCATTATTATTCCCTTATAAAGAAGCTGAAGATTTTAATATGAATATACTGTCTACTAAATCTAAGAGAATTAAGTTAGGAAAATATTATATCAAAATGTTGTATAATCATATAAGATTTTAAATATATATTGAATGAATTATGAATATTGAATATCAAATAAATGTGGTTATAGAATTTAAATAAATAACAACCATTATTTTGGTAATTTATTAAGATGAACTCTTATAATAAAAAATGAAACTATTTAAATAATACAAGTCCTTTAAATAATCAACAATATTATTAGATAAAATTACTTAGACCCTCTGTTTTTTTCAGTTTTTCTTTGATTAATGTTTATATATATTAACATAATGAAATTGAAAATTGAAAATGATTAACTTATTTTGAGATTAATATTCTCATAAATCAAATCAATGATTCATATATCATGTACAATATAAATTAAAAAATATAATCCAAATACTCTACTTTCTAAATTATTCATATTTAAATAGATTTTTACTATGTGACTTTTAATGAATATAATGAGTAATAATCTGATTGCTATTTTCTTTTAAAATTATTAACTAATAATTATGTATTATCTTTATATACTCATAAATTTATTAACAGAATTTCTCATGGCTCACCTTCCTAATCATTATTAGAAAAGAAAATAATTCTTTTATGAAATTTTGTAATCATAGAAATTCAACAAAATTATTTATTAAAAAATATAAATTAAATTAATGGATCAAATAAATGATGCAGCTTAGTTGTTTAGAAAAAAATATACTATAATAATGGATGAAATTTATGGTGAAGGTTGTTTTGGTTAAATATATTCTTGTAAAAAAATTGATGATTCTGATGATAATATATATTGTGCTAAAGTTATTCCAATTAATGTAGATAAAGAGAGAAGCAAAGAAAATGAAATAATTATAAATAATTCAATAGCTAAATTAAAGTTAAATCAACATTAGTAAATGAATTTAGTTAAAATATACGATATTTCTTTTGATTCCAATTCTTTGTATATAATAATGGAAAGATGTGATGAAGATTTATCATTTGAGTTTTATAAGCTTATAGAGGAAAATAGTTGGTATACAGAGGAAGAAGTATATGATTTGATACAATAAATTATAAATGGAATAAAAGAAATGCATTCAAAAAAAATCATCCATCAAAATATAAAACCAGAGAATATTTTAATTAAATATGAAAATAAAGGAGAAATCAATGAGAGAAAAATATATAAAGTAGTTTTGTGCTCATATTTTAGATTACAGACTATGAAATTGGTATTTTGATTTCTAAACTTACTAAAAAATAAGACCTGATTAGAACAGGATCTCCAAATTATACAGCACCTCAAGTATTTGAAGATGATGTAATATATTCTGAATAAAGTGATATATTTTCATTCGGTGTTCTATTTTATTAAATTTGCTATTAAGCTAAATTTCCTTATGATTGTAGTTCAATGTAAAGTTGATATTAAAGTTTATAATATCTAAAAAATAATCCTTTTAAAGCTCCACCTTTTAATTATAATAATGGAAAATAATTGCAAAATCTTATAGAAAATATGATTGTTTATAATGAAAATCAAAGAATTTCTTATTCAACTCTCTTTACTCATGCTGTAGTGAAAAGGAAAAGTTAGGAAGATACTGTTATTATTAGAAATGAAAGTAGAAATTTTAGAAGTTAAAGATTATTTGATAAATCAATTAATTTTGAAAACAAGAAAAAAACCTAAATTTTATTGACATTAGAAAGATTGAAATTATTGTTAGAGTAATTTCTTATCAAATTCTAAATTTGTTAGTAATTAATTTAATAAATCTAAGATAGTGATGAATTTTTATTTTTTAAATTAAATATTTATTTAATAGGAAATTATTAATTGTTCTATGCACTTGCTTTAATTTACATAAGACCTTAAAAATTACATCCAAGTATTTTAAAATATAATGATTAATTAATGCTTATCGAGAAATTAAGTGAAGCATAAGAAGGAATAAAAATATATCATCCAAATACTAAAATTTATTAAGATTTTTATGATTCAATTCAATCACAATATCATAAATTTGTATATTAATTTAAAGAATTTTATATTAATATTAAAAGGAGAAAAGAACTTCCTAATGAATTAGAGGAGTTTACTCAATAAGCAGTCTCTAGAAGAATCGAATTAACTATATTATTATAAAATATTAAAAATTTAAAAAAAACTTATCTAAGTAGAATCCCTAATACACTATAATATTTATTAGATTAGGTATTAAATTTGAAAGTTTATCCCCAATTAGTCTTAATCAAAAGAATGTAGATCAATAGTCATAGCCATCCTAATAAATTGGATAAATATGATAATTAATTAATTTTGCCAATTAATAATTTTTATGTTATCAAATTTAACATATTCTTATTTTATTAATATTGTTTATTATTTATTAATGATTTATTAATTTATTCTATAGTATCCCATTTTTTATATTACTTTCAATCTGATAATTATATATTATAAATCCTATTATTTTTTTTGGATTATAGGATTTTTATATTGTTTAATAAAATCATAATATTTATATTTATTTAAAATTCATAATCATAAGAGAAATGAAAATATCAAATTTAAATAATTATTCTCATAATTGCCTAATTATAAAAGGAATCATCCCATTTTAAATGCCTAACAACAAAGTACATTAGTTAATTTAATGAATCAATTATTTTAATCTCTTATTTATAAAATGATTTGCTTGAAAATAATAAATAAAAAATGACACAACATAAGCTATGGAAATTAGATGCTATAACAAATAACATTAAGAAAATTACCAATTTTCTCAAATAAATTAATGAGCATGACTATAATAAAAGTGACTATTCTATTCAAAATTATATTGAAACATTCCAATCTCTTATTAATAAGATAAAAAGAGAATATTATATCTTTTTTTTAATTTCTTGTTCAACTTATTGCTATAGATGAAAATTTGATATAATAATGTGGATCAAATTTACTAGATTTATTAATATAGATGAAAGTTGATCAAAAATTTCAATTTTTTAAAAGATTAAGATTCGATACACTTCATTGCAGGGTGCCAATTTATTTAAATGCAATTTAAGTAGATCTGAATTTGATAATGTAGGTATAAGCTGGGTTAATTTAAATGGAGCATTATTAATTAATTGCCAATGGAGAACATCAAAACACATGAATTGAATAAATTGGATGGTCTTAGTGGAACTGTTCAATCTTTATGCTTCTAGCTGGATTGTACTACATTTGCATCAGGTGATAAATCCATTCGGTAATGGGATTTTTAGACAGGATAAACAAAAGCAAAATTTGAAGGTTATAATGGAAGAGTTCTCCCAGTTTGTTTTTCTCCTGATGGGAATATACTAGCATCAGGTAGTGATGATAAGTCTATTCGTTTATGATATATTAAGACAGGATAATAAATTCGACCTTTTTATAATAATTATGAAGAAATTCTAGCATTATTCAAAATCCCCTATTTATATAAAATTCTCTTTTGGAGGGTAATATTTGTATTTTAAACTTATTTAGTCACCAAGAATATTTCTATTCATCTTATATCTCAATAGGCAAAAAGAAGAATTTATTAGTTAATCAGATATTGATTTAACTAAATTAAATTATCAAAAAGGAGGTTTCAAATTGGAAAGTTCATTAGAATTAAATTAACGATGATGTATATTGCAATTAAGAAATATAAAATTCTAATTATTTTTCTGAATCCTAGATTGAAAAATCCTTTATTTAATTTAATCTTTGGGTAATTGTCAAATTTATGGAATTTTTTCTGTACTACAACAATTTTTGAACACTCTTTTACTGATAAAAATTTCTTTTAATAATTCAATATCTGTATATAGAATAAAAAATAATTATTATCATATTTGCTCTAAAAATGTTGAAAGGTATGTGATAATATCAAAATGATTTTTGTAAAAACTGTAATTTATCACAAAATAAAGTTTGAATAAAAAATTATCTAATACTTTATATTAGATACTTATTTGATTACACTAAAGCAAAAAGGTTTAATTAATTAATATCTCATCGAATTTTTACTTCTATTTGAATTAAAGAATTTAACAATGAACAAGTTAATATAAGAAGAATTAAGATATTCACAGATAAATCTAAGATTCCATTATTTTTGAAATTATAAAATTTAATAATTTTATCTAATAATAAACCAAATAAAAAGGATAAAAGATAAACAAATTGAATTTAATTTCTGAAACTTAATTTAAAGCAACTAGAAGTATTTTTCTGTTAAAGTAAAATATCGAACATAAGATTTAACTAATCATCATTTTTTTCAATATAAAAATAAATAGTAATTCATATTTTCATATTATTCTTAATTTGTAAATTAATTTTTATTTTATAAATAAAATTTCAAGAACTAAAATTAATTGTATCATTATAATGATATTCATATTTATTCTTTTTTTAATCATATATCTTTTTAGATTTATACCTTTAATAAATAGAAATAATGTTATGATGACCTATTAAAATTGTAAATAATACGATAGCATTTAATTTTATTCTTAATAATAAAATATTGAACAATAGTTCTATTATCTAAAGAATCAATTGATTATTGATTGATTCAAATATTAGTATCTATTATCTTTAACTTAATACTACCTAAATTTTGATTTTTAATATATCAAAGCTATTTAATTAAATTATAATATATTTATTTTATTAATTTAATTACAAAGTCAATTCCATTATATAGATGTATAAAGAGATTCTTCTAATATCTATTCAGACACAAATTATTCTGAAAATTATCATTGTGGCAGATAATGAAGAAAATATTTATAAATAGAATGAAATACTTATATTTAAAACCACTATGTATATATATAAATTTATTTATCAAATAGGTGAGTCTTAACTTAAATATTGCTTGATTGGTAATTGGAATTCAAACTTATTGATGAAAGATAAAACTTTTTACATAATAAAAATAAATAGTATTAGTTGTATTTCAAAAATTTAGAATAATTGAGTCAATAATGATATTGAAGAAATCTTATTTTTAAAATCAAATCCAAATAATGAATTTTTAATTTTAATTGAATTATATACTCAGTAAATACTATTTCCTCATCATTATTTTGCTTTAAACATATATATTTAACAAGCTCCATTAATATTCTTTTTTATCTTTTAAAAAATAGTTCATTTAATTAATATAATAAACGGCCTTATCAATCTAAGTAATTGCTTTGATTCAAAATAAAATTTGATGAAAGAAAGTGGTATTGTAAAATGTTATCTGATTAAGACTTTCAATAATAAGTTTTATAAGAAAAATAAGTAAACAATATAATAGTTTCTATAAATAAACTAAATTTTATTCTACTAAATTTTTATATTTTTAAGGTATTCTTGTCCTTGGTTACAGCTTTTGGATTAAAAACCAAATATAGAATTTTGATATTTATTGCATAGTGATTATAAAAATAATATAATTTTTTGAGTTTATTAAATAATCTCTTAAATTAGATTAACTATCTTTCATAGATTAAAAAAAAATTCTGTAAGGATTAAAAACAGTAAAATCCTTAAACTATTAAATTTAAATAAAAATCTATAAATATAAACTAGAGTAAAATTATTAATGAAAAATTTTTTTTAAGAAATTGGACGTTTTGGAGTATTGCTGATGAAAAAATTCATAAGTGCTTATTTCAAATCAAAACTACTATTGATTTATTTTGTTAAAATAATTCAAATTCATTACTCTTATATACCATAGTTACAGATTACAAGCTAATTAGATTTTAGTTTTCTTCTCTTAGAATTGATCCATATCACTCTGCTTAATACCTTATTTATCTATTTTTCTTCAAAATATTTATACAAATATTATTTCTTTTTAGTTCTACTATTCATAAAAACAAAAACCCAAATTAAATGAGTAAAATCATTAATAAATAGAAATATTGATAATCAAAGTCATCCTATTTCTAAGTAAGGTTAAGATGCAATAGAAAAATTTATTAATATCTTTTAATTTATTGGAAATGTTAACAATGTTTTATAATTTTTTATTGTCATAATGTATATAAAACCTTGAAATTGTTTCTTCTGTTGAATTAATTAAATAAAGAAAAATATCAAATGTAAACAATAGAGAGTGAAGATAAAAAAATTTGTTAATTTCACAAATTAGAAATAGTAGTAGTAGATTTAAATGTATAAACTAAAGTAGATAATAAATATTATTGTACAATGTGTTTGGTTGAGAAATTTGATAATAATAATAATATGACAATGATTAATTAAGTCAATGAAATGATAAAAAACATGACTATTTAATCAGAAAGAATTTTTAAGGAAGAATAGGTTCTTAGACTATCATCTTTACAATAATTATAATCATCAATAAAGTCATTCAAAGTTTTTATTAAGACGGAGCTTACAAAATTACTTTAATAAATTGATTTATATATTGAATAGATCTAAAAAGAAGTAGAATCATAAGAAACTAAATTAGAAAAAAAGAACTTTGATGATTAAATTCAAATTCTATCATAAAATTATAAAGGAAATTTATGTTACAATATTTAATTATAAGAGATTAATAAAGAAAAAGATTTCTAATTAGCATAATTTGTTTAAGAATCCCTATTATCTTACTCAAAATCATAGAATTTTGATTAAATTATGAAATCTATTGAATTGATAATATCAACTATTCCAATAAATTTATAGAAAAATATCATTTATGCAGCATCTACATAAGAACAAGGATCAAATGTAAATTCTTCTCTAATTTTAGGAAAATAAGATTTGTAAAAAACATAACTAGGAAATAATTATGATTAATATAAGTTAAGAAAAATCAGAATTCAGTAGATGGGCTTGTATAGAATGTATTGAGGAAAACCCTATTTAATATGTTAGTTTAAAAGAGGCAAAAAAAAGGTGGATTAATTACATAGATTAATCAAAGGATTTAATTTTTACAAAAACTGGTAGTAGAAAATAAAAATTATAAATTATTTTATAAAAAATTAAGTAAATAAAAACCAATTTAAATAATTAACTATAAGAAATATTAATTATTATAGAAAAATAAATAACTGAGGATTATTAAACATATGAGGATTTTCTATAATTAGGCAAGAAATAGATATTTGAATTAGAAAAAACTTAATTTGAAAAGTTAATTAATTTATTAATTTAAAAAGAGAAAAATAAAGAAATACAGGAACAATAAGAAAAATAAGCTATCCTTGATTACAAGGTTTATTCAAACATAAATACAAATTTAGATAGTCTTCTTGAAATTTATTTACTTAGTAAGTAATAATTATTAACAATTATTTTATAATAAGGTATTTATATTAAAAATTAATAGATTCACAATAAATTGGAGTTAATAATTTTTTGGATACTAAATTGATTCCTGAAATGCACTAGTTTATTTCAAAAATTGAAATTTAAATCTAGTATTTAAATAATCTCAATGAACCTATTAAATTATAATAAGAATTAAAGTAAGATTAACACATAGAACAACAAGATCAATGTTATTAATAATTGAAAAACAATGAAATAATTTAGCAATAATAATTACTTGAAATAACAGAATAATAATTGAGACTTTAATTTGAAGAAAAATAAGAGACTAATTAAATTAATTAATTATAAATACAAGAAATTATAGTAATTTCAAAGAATATTAGAGATTTAGAAAATAATTTGAATAGAAGCATATAAATTGTGGATCAAGAATAAGGACAATAATAATATCAATAACAAGATTTATTTAAATAATATAATTTATAAGAAAAGTTTAATGTTTTTGATGAAAAATTACAACAGCTAACTGTTTAAATAATTGATTTAAAGTCAGAATTTATTTAAATAAATTAATAAAAGATAAATTTATTATAATCAGGAATTAATTAATCATAATTTAAGTTTGAAGAAAATATGGAATCTAAATTTTAGATCCTTAATTAACAAATTTAATTCCGATTAGAAGAAAATTATTCTTAAATTAAGATATTGGAATAATACTAATAATCACTTAGTGAGTTGGTAAAAGAAGTTTAAAAATCAAATGAAACAATTTATTAGTTAATAAATAATGTTGATTAATAGAATACATAAATATAAAAACTATTTGAAATAATTTAATTAAGTTAAAAATAGCAACATTTATTTGAGGCACTTTTAAAACCAAAAATTGAAATTTTTCTTAAACTTTAATTAATTCCTGGTGTAAAACCAACCTTATTAAATAATAATTTTTGGATTAGATTATTTTCTTACATATAAGAACAATCAAAAAAAAATGTAAAATCATCTTAATTAGTTTATAAAGGAAGTTAAGATGGATTAAATAGTAATTCTTTTTGGAATTGTTGTAAAGGTAAGGGTTATTTACTGATGATATTTAAATCTTTAAGCGGAAATGTTTTTGGTGGATATTCGCCCTGTGTATGGTAACATCACAGTGGCATTTATGTATAAGATGATTCATTAACATCATTTTTATTCTCTTAAAAACATGATTAAATATATCCTTTGATAAAAAATAGAAAATAATATGCGATTCGTTGTAATTCTAGTCATGGGCCTAAATTTGGATATGCTCATGATATAAGTATATATTCTGATTTTAAAAGTGGATATTCTAAAATAGGTGATACGTATTAATGTAATAATTATCAGGATAAGTAATCGAGTTATTTATTTGGATAGGATAAGCCAAATATAATTGAATGTGAAGTATATGAATTGATTTTTACATGAAACTTGAAAATATTAAATATATTTAAATATAAGATATTTTTATTCATTCTTATGGTATTTTGCAACCTTTATCTATTTCATAAAAGAATTTGATATAATTCTCTGCTTATTCGAAAACCTAAAGGGATCTTGTTTCAACAGTATAATTGATTATTATAATGTATTTTCTTCTTATACTATCTTAATTATGTTTAGTACTCTAAAATCCAGCCATTTTCGATTCAGTCCTCTTCTTTACTCTAATCTATCTATAGAATTGTCAGAGAAAGTTATTTTCTGAAATTTTAATTATTAATATTTTGAACACACAATTATTACAATTATTGATTTATTTAATGTGTTAAAATATCTTACGAACCCTATACTTTAAGTATAATATTATTATAATGAAGACTAGGAAAACTACAAAATAGATTAACAAGATAAATGAGAGGATAAATAATAAATTTGATTATTTCAAAAAATTATATGACAGAGAATGTATAATGATTTAAGGTTCAGAAACAACCAAACTTACACTACTATTAATTAGTTACTTATTATACAATCAAAAATTATTTAAAATAATAACATTTAGTATACTGAATTTAAATTCAATTCATTTTTAAATAGTTCTAATTTGTTATTTCTAGCAGGTTTTATTAATGAAATGGTCCTTTACTTTTTAAGGTTAACTTAATTTTTTCTTGATTTCTTAATAAAGCTACATAATAAATACATCTTTATTAAAATACTATACTTTCATATAATGCTATATTAATAGCTTAAATACTATTAAGATCATATAGCTTTTATTAAGTTGTATTAATATGAATTTCTATAAAAAAGTGATTTTTAGATATTTCTGGATTCGAATCATATTACAATTAAAAAAAAATTAAATCATTATCAAAAACTTAAATATAGAAGATCCAAGGAATTAAGATATATCTTATACAGAACCCATTACAAATATATTATTTTACAAAAATTTAATTTCATAGAAATTAAGAATTACAAAAAATTTAACATTTAATTGTTGTTTTTAAAAGAAAAGCCAGATGTTTAAAAACTAATAAATATTATAAATTTTTATTATTTTTAGTTATGAATCTTTAGAAAAAATTGAACGAAATTCAATTAGTTTAAGAGCCTACTTTATGTAAAGGTATCAATTAATTTAATGGAATCTCTTGGGATGAACTAGAAAGTAGATTTATTTACTCTACATTCTAAATCTTGTTGAAAGATTAAGAAATTTAATACATAAAAGAAGGATCCATTATAAGACAGTAATACTTTATTATTTAAGGAAAATAGGGATATTATTAAAGATAACTCAAAGTAACCTGAATACTTAGCTAATTTAGAATAGATAAAATTTTTAAAATGGATTGGAAGTTATAATAAGAATAATTAACAAATTGGTAAATGGATAGTAACTTGGAAGGGAGAAACTCTTTAAGAAATAGGAGGATATTATGATGAAGGAAAAAAATAAAGCCTATGGAAGGAATNTTACGAACCCTATACTTTAAGTATAATATTATTATAATGAAGACTAGGAAAACTACAAAATAGATTAACAAGATAAATGAGAGGATAAATAATAAATTTGATTATTTCAAAAAATTATATGACAGAGAATGTATAATGATTTAAGGTTCAGAAACAACCAAACTTACACTACTATTAATTAGTTACTTATTATACAATCAAAAATTATTTAAAATAATAACATTTAGTATACTGAATTTAAATTCAATTCATTTTTAAATAGTTCTAATTTGTTATTTCTAGCAGGTTTTATTAATGAAATGGTCCTTTACTTTTTAAGGTTAACTTAATTTTTTCTTGATTTCTTAATAAAGCTACATAATAAATACATCTTTATTAAAATACTATACTTTCATATAATGCTATATTAATAGCTTAAATACTATTAAGATCATATAGCTTTTATTAAGTTGTATTAATATGAATTTCTATAAAAAAGTGATTTTTAGATATTTCTGGATTCGAATCATATTACAATTAAAAAAAAATTAAATCATTATCAAAAACTTAAATATAGAAGATCCAAGGAATTAAGATATATCTTATACAGAACCCATTACAAATATATTATTTTACAAAAATTTAATTTCATAGAAATTAAGAATTACAAAAAATTTAACATTTAATTGTTGTTTTTAAAAGAAAAGCCAGATGTTTAAAAACTAATAAATATTATAAATTTTTATTATTTTTAGTTATGAATCTTTAGAAAAAATTGAACGAAATTCAATTAGTTTAAGAGCCTACTTTATGTAAAGGTATCAATTAATTTAATGGAATCTCTTGGGATGAACTAGAAAGTAGATTTATTTACTCTACATTCTAAATCTTGTTGAAAGATTAAGAAATTTAATACATAAAAGAAGGATCCATTATAAGACAGTAATACTTTATTATTTAAGGAAAATAGGGATATTATTAAAGATAACTCAAAGTAACCTGAATACTTAGCTAATTTAGAATAGATAAAATTTTTAAAATGGATTGGAAGTTATAATAAGAATAATTAACAAATTGGTAAATGGATAGTAACTTGGAAAGGAGAAACTCTTTAAGAAATAGGAGGATATTATGATGAAGGAAAAAAATAAAGCCTATGGAAGGAATAATTTAAAAATTATTGGAAGTGATATTATTTTGTTATTTTAAAGTTAGGCTTAAGTATATGAATTTGGAGTATATTTGAATAACGAGAGGTAAGGTAATTGGAAGTATATATTTAAGGAAAAAGAAATGTATTAAAATTATTATTGTTAAAATAGAGCTGGTGGTACATATAATTAGGCAGGTTAAAAACATGGAAAATGGATGTAACCAAATGATAGTTTTTGGGATCAATCATAAGTAATACATTTTGGAGAATACTACAATGGTAAAAAAATTGGTATATGGGATATATGGTTCGATGAGTATGGAATTAATAATTGGATGTAAAATTATTATATTTATAATAACATCAACTTAATTTTAGTGGTGGTGGATTGTATGATGAAAAAGGACAAGAACTTAAAGTAGGAAACTGGATTGAGATAAATAATAGATTTTGGTTTTATTCATGCTTTACTTTTAATGGTGAATATAAAAAGGGAAAAAAAATAGGTTTTTGGAAGAGTTTTTGGAATGAAGGATCATAAATGTAAAATATATAGCACCATATATTTTTTTTTAGTGGTGGCGGTTTGTATGATGAAGGAGGTAAAGAATTTAAAATTGGAAATTGGATAGATGTCAGTGATGGATTTTCTAATAGATCAGTAATAACTTTTGATGGTGAATATAATAATGGTTTAAAAGTTGGAAGATGGGCTACATTGTTTAATTTGGATGGAAACAATAAATAGATGTAAATTATTATTCATAAATAAACATTTATGTTTAGTGGTGGTGGAGAATATGATGAATTATATGGTGTAAAAATTGGAAATTGGATTGATATAAGTGAAGGATTTTATCAATTTTCATAAGTAACTTTTAATGGGGAATATAAACATGGTAAGAAAGTTGGTAGATGGAATATTTATTATAACAATATTTTGATGTAACATAAGAATTTTACACTATTATAGTGGTGGTGGATTATATGATGAAGGGAATCAAGAAGCTAAGATTGGAAATTGGATTGAGATTAGTAGTGAATTTTCTGATTGGTCTCAAGTAACTTTTGAAGGAAAATATAAAAATGGTCAAAAATTTGGTAGGTGGAATATTTGGTTTAGGAATTGTAATATGTAAGAATAAAAATTGATGTAAGCATGAAATATTATCTCAATTATTAGAGGAGGTGGATCATATGATGAAGATGATTAAGCACTTAAAGTTGGAAATTGGATTGAAATTAGTGATGGATTTAAAAGTGAAACATAAGTAACATATAGGGGCGAATATCAAAACGGTATCAAAATTGGAAAATGGGAAATTTGGGCAAGGAATAATTTTGATAATCAAAATATTGAAAACATGTAAAATTATAAAATTTATCCATTTTATTAGTGGTGGTGGATAATAT